CGGTCAACCGGGAACGTCTTCAGCCGCGCGCAAAGCTATGGAATCACTTTCTCAAGCATAAATTAATGCCCACCTCCCACAACACTACGGTATCACTTTCACGCTTATTGCTTTTACATTCTATAATGGTATCCCGTTCGATCGATGTGGGTCGTATCATTGTTCAGCAAGTTCACGACTGTTTGGGTAAAAAGGCAAGTTCTTTGGTGTTTCCTAATTTAATTACCGCTTTATGTCGTAAGAAAAAGATTGAGGAAAATGCTTTTGATGAAATTTTACCTGGATTATCGGGCATCACTAGGGCTAGACTTTCACTGTTGTTGGGAATTGAAAATCCCAAGTCTAATGACTTTGTTCATGAGCCATCTACAGGTGCTACAGAATCGAATGTCGAGGCAAGGTTACTTGCTCTCGAGGAAGCTGTGACGTAGACTCAAGCTCAACTGCATGCTTTATCCGTAACTTCTTTGGATATGTGAAGCATAGAGATGTTGTGGTGGAATCATTCTTTCAAGAAATCATTCCCCACGGACAAAGGAATTTTCCTGGATTCCCAGACGAAATTCTGCCGGTATTTAATGCCGAGGCATCTCCAGAGCCTGAGCACGATGCACCTGATCCTCCTGCTGATGACCCTACTCCCGATACACACCGGTCCAAGACTCCTGAATATCCGCCCACTGTCCCTATCGAAGAAACACCCAGCCCCGCCCCAGCACCCAATCCTTCTCATGCACAACGTAGTGGTCGCCGCACCAAGACCACGGCTGGACGCATTGCGCACTATTACTCTAATTCTTCCGAGTCCAGCCCAGCACCTATCCGGAAGCGCACCCGACGAGGAGCTGCTAGTACCTCCAAAGCACCACCATCACGTAAACATTGAGGTACCTCTTTTGCATCCATTTTCATTTAGTTGCATTTCATTGCATAACATATAGTTTATAGATAGTTTAGTTCTCTTTAAAGCATTGAGGACAATGCTTCCCTTAAGTTTGGGGGAGGTATTGTTCTTGGTAGGGCATATGCATGATAGCATTAGCATAGTATTATGCCATGGCATCAGTAAATGGTAGGACAGTTAGATAAAATGTTTTGAGGATACCCGATGATGATAATTTTATTAGGCTAGAATCTGAATGTATGAGAATGATGGAACTCACTCTAGGGCTTGATGCTTGGTGAAAAATATTTACACGATTTGTATGTTCTCTATACTTAGAAAATTTAGGAAATTTTTATGAAGGAACTTTAGTTAGTCTTGGCATTGAAATATAGTATGGTGTTTAAAAGAAAAATAAAAAACAAACTCCCTTAGAAATGAAACTGTGAATAAATGCTTAAGCATAGCTGTAGAGGGACACTCCTCTTTGCCGTGGCATTTCCTGGAACTTTCTTTAATAAATGGAAGCCTCGTGCATATGTATGAATGAAAGAAGTCACGGGATGACTCTACTTAACTAGCTCGGGGATGGAAGGTATGCTCCCTTTCATCTAGAGTGTGGGAGAGTAGGTGTGATGAGCTGACTCCCTTCGTAACAGCATCAAAAAAAAAAGGGAGTAAAAATGTGCTTAATGATAAGTAAATGCCTTGACAAAAACTAGAGAACTTGATTAGAAATTGTCTAAATTCGCTAAGTATAGATTGGATACAATCACGCACACACACTACCACAAAGGATTTTGACCTAAAGAAAAGTACTTGAATTCTTGATAAGTCTAGCATGTTGAAGCCTATCGTTCTGAGGGTTGAAATTCAATTTTGTCCTACTGTCTTACTATCGAACTTTGCCATGACATTATGCTTATGTAACTGCTATCCATTGCTTGAGGACAAACAATAGCTTAAGTTTGGGGGTGTGTTAACTTCCTAAAAAGGCTACTTTTAAAGCCTTTTTCACTTAAGTTATTGTTTGTTTAAAAGCTTATTTTAGTCATTTTAGGATCATGTAGTTGCATATAGTTGCATTTGTGGTGGTTGTACTATTTTATTTCTCAATGGTGTTGTTTGAGGGAAAGGTGCAGTTTGTCTATGGTGTGCAGGGAATAGCAAGGAAAAGGATTCTTTGGGAAGTAATGCCGCGGCATCACACGTTGCTAAAGCAGATTGAAATGCCTTGGCATTTTTGGCGTAGAAAAAGACAAAAAGATATTTCTGCATAAGGACAGCTGGCACTGGACAGCTGTCCCTGCACATGAAGGACTGCTGTAACCGCCTGCCAGAGCTGCCAATGTACCACTGCCACTTGGAGGATAAGGTTCATGCACAAAATGTGATCCTAGGGGTATGAGGGGTATTTTGCACCCAACAAACTCATCATTACCCCTAGATATTTTATTTATTATATATGACACCTCATGGGAGAGAGAGGAGGAGAGAGTGAGCACACGCATAGAGCAGAAAAATCAGATTTTTATTTTATCTTTTTCCTTTCTTCTTCCTTGGAATATTCCTCCATTGATAAAGCTCCAAGGAGTGGCAAGCTAGGCGCCGAAAGGAGCTAGCGAGCTAGGTGGTTCATGGTGGCCGAGAGGAGACCTCCGGTGGCGCGTCAAAGGCTTCTTCTCACTTCCTTTTTTGCTGCTATTTCTTTATATTATTTTGTGGGTTGTTGGAACGAATTTTCATGACTTTGTGTTTGGATATTTCGAACCCCACCATGAACTAACTTATTTGGTGGTGGTTGGTTGAATGGTTGTTTAAACTTTATTTTTAATGGTATATTTAAGTTTATTTTGGTTCTTTATTTTCTTTGCTTATGAATGCTTCACCATCTAGGCTTGTAAGAGGCATGGAAATGTCCATCTCTTAGATGAAGGTTAGGTATTCGGAAGAATCCTAAACTAAAAATACTTGTAAGTATTCGGAAGAAACGCAAGATAAGATCCTCATAAGCAATGGGTTATGGTATTTTCAAGGGGCTTTGAACCGGCCTAGGAATATTATAACTTAATCCCTTAGATCTCGGAAGAGACTAGGATAGGATTTCAACGACTAAAAAGGGTGTCTTCATCAATAGGGTAGGCTGTCCAACATCGTTGAGTGAGAGCAGATGCCTTGGCATCCTATTCTGTTAGGTTCTTTTGAACATCTTAGGAAAGCCCTGTCGAGTAAGTAAAGACAATATAGCTTAGATATACTTGAGAAATAAGTTTAGCAACCTTAGACCAATCCTTACCATTCATTTCATTGGAAGCTTGTCACGTGAGGATTATTTTCTTCTTATTTTACTTATCTTTTTAGTTACTGTTTTTACCAATTATCATTGCCTCAACATTTCACCATACTCAACATTAAACATCCATCATTGCCACTGCATTTCCATTTGCTACACCATCACACCATCAATCCACATCCACCAGCATACACATATCCATTGCCGTGACATTTGTATATATCAAGACTAACTATACTTAGATAATTTAGTGCATTGCTTTGGTTAGACTTTTGTGATTTCACCCAATCCCTGTGGAGACGATACTCACTCATCATTATATTACTTGAGCAATTGTGTATACTTGCACATTATTTACGTATATTTTATAGTACTCACAACACGCGAACAGTATGCCTGCAAAAGGTTAATTTATGTGTAGACGTGCATGTAAATTTGATAAAAACAGCGTGCACAGAGCATCGTCCAAAACGACATTGGCTTGGGACTTCACGTTGCGTACCTCAAAATTCAGTTAACTATGTGGGCCCCTTTCCGTTTTTTTCACCGGCTTTTAGCTGTCTTCTTCTACGCGCCACTCACGCGCATCTCCTATGGTTTTTCTTTTGAACTTTATTTCGATCGATAATATTACTACTAGAATATTCTACAAGACGTGAATTTAATCCTGTTTAAATACGTATTAACCTTTAACGTATGAATAAAGTGGAGTCTGAGTACATTCAGGGGTGTTTATATTTGGGTATCCGTTTTACCAGATATCCTAAATATTAGATACTCTCAAAATTCGGATACCCGATTGCCTTTTGTTTTGTTAGAAATCAAAATCCTGCACATATGCAACTAGGCAGAATACATTTATGTATGTTATTATAGGATTTAAGTTCTTAGAATTAACATTCGCAAAATTCATTTATGTTTGGCTCCGTTCCAGGCCAATCAAATGGAAAGACAATGCTCTCTCCTCTCGATATTTGCTTTTTATTTTTTATTATCATTATGTAACCTGGTTATCTGATCCATTCCTGCTTTAACAAGTTGGTAATTTGGGGACGTGTTACCTGGCTTGTTTCAAGTTTGGGCACTGGGGTAAAGTGAAAAATGAAAGTATGAAATAAAAATTATATAAATATTAAATTAAATTAAAGAAAAAATCTGCTATCTGCTAGAATACCTGTTTAGAAGTAATTTTTGACTCGGATTATCTCAATTTTCTTGCTACTATGTAAAGAACGATTTATTACTTGTTTGATTAATAGATTGTTAGGTACTCTTTTTTTTCTTATAGACTCTAATTTGGTATTGGTAGAAAAAGTTTTTAACATACCCATAATTTCTAAAAAAAAAATATCATCTTAACTTTTTTTTTTAAGTTCATACCTGTTTTTTTAACATCATCTTAAAAATCGAATATATATCTCGACATTCTCCGTGTACATTGTACAATCGGTATTAAAAATTTATATTATCTATAAAATTCGAACATTTTTTTGGAGAATATAATATATGTAAGTGTCTTAGCATTACATTCAACACAAATTGGACCGGCATAGTGAATAAGATGTGTGATCACGTTGATAATGTAATGTAGTCATGAGCACAGAGTCTATCTGTCTCCCTTTGTTTTTCTTCAATTTCTTCATCTCTTCCTCTTCCTTTAATTCTCCCTTTTCCTCTCTATTTCCTTCTTGGGGCTCTTTCTTCCCTTTCCCCCCTTCTTTCTCTCCATCCAGACACCTTATTTTTCTCACTTAAGTCTCAGTATTTAGGAAAAGGAAAACAGCAACGGTTTTTCTTATTCTGTGTTCTTTACTCGTGGTTGTTAAACTCCATGACTATGAGTAACAGTATTGTGCAATTCGGTGACACGACATTAACCAAAGTTTTCGTTGGCGGCTTAGCTTGGGAAACTCCCGGAGAAGCCATGAAAGAGCACTTTGAAAAGTACGGCGAGATCCTTGAAGCCGTCATTATTTCCGATAAACTCTCCGGCAGATCCAAGGGTTATGGATTCGTAAGTTCATTTTCCACTCAAATGCTTCCAGTGTCAACTGATCCGTTTCACTCAATTTTTTGGGGATTTTTTTAGGTTACTTTTAAGGATGCTGAAGCAGCTAAGCAAGCTTGTGAGGATCCGAACCCTATCATCAACGGCCGCCGCGCCAACTGCAACCTCGCCTCCCTCGGTGCTCGCCGGCCGAGATCCGCCTCCGGCTCCACTGCTCATCCACCACAACAAGGTATTTACGATTTTTCAGGTGAAAAGAGAGTGTGTGAAAAGAGATACTGTGTAATGGCATTTTTGTGAATATAAGCATCATGGGGGTCTAATATATAGGTTTTAATCAAACTAAATTGAAGGATCAAACGTTGGACTTAGGGCCATGTCGGCTGCACCTGTCAATCACGTGCAGTGGTATTACCCAGAAGTGGGGACACCGACTTCACACTTTCATCATCAGCAGCAGCGGCAGCTGCATCATCAAGTCGTTTCTTATTATGGGTATTTTATTTCTTTTGATTTTTTTTGAAGTTGCATGGTATAAAATGTAGGCTTTGCCGTATCTTATAATTGTCTCTGCTCTCTTGTTTCAGTTACTCTCCCACCTACGTTGCCACTGATATGAACTACAATCATGTAAGTTGTTATCTTTTTCGTTTTTCTTTAGGAAAAGTATACCAAAGGTCATAGGATTATATTCTAATGGTTGTTTTGACTACTGAATTATTAAAAATTATAAAACAATCATTAAATTTATCGAATAAAGTGTTACAAAACGATTATTAAATTTATTAATTTTTATGTTTATTATAATGTCTCAAAAATCATTTTGTAATACTTCAATAAATTTAATGATCATTTTATAATTTTTAAAAGTTCAATGACTAAAATGGTTATTTAAACATAAAATATCAACGGTACATCATGAGAAGTTTAGTTAGATCTATAATTCCAATTGAATAGGGTAAATATTTAAAGAAAGAAATATCTAAAACTTGATGTGTATATGATGCAGCAGAAGCTGAGCTACAATGGAGGATCCTACATGAATGGGCATTTCTGCCAAGTGTATCCATCAGGGCAGGCTACTGTAGGTGCAAACACATTGATGCCAATGTACCCGTTGTATCATTACCATCAATCACAAACAATGGGGTTACCGGCATCAGCCACCCACATCTTCCCATCAACAACGGCTGTGCCCATCACCACAATCCCATTCATCTCTAAACCTGCTGCTGCTATTGTTGCTCCTAATTCAGGTAACCATCCATTGGTACTTCTTGACGATCACTCACATGGTAACATGCTCACCTCCCTCACATTACACTAGTAATAAATGTTTTATGGTCTAATGTGGTCTGATTGAATGAATCCTGGTGTCACGTGAGCCCCTGTTTGGTTTTGGATTTGGGTCCACCGCCAACTGGCTCATTCAGGAAACCATGTGCTCTGGGGGTTGGGATTGAGCCACTAGGTTTACTATTCAACCATTTGTATTTTAAAACAAAAAGGATGAATGATTTTTAACCTCACCCCATTTTGTAGAGTCGATTTTCTTTTCTTATTAAAAATTTGAATTTGGATTACATCAGTTTTCTTAGAAGATAAAGATCAGATAGAGTCAAATTTAGTTAATATCATAATAGTCTCTTATATATTTAGATATGATTACAATAATATCAATTACTCTCTATTTTTTATATATTTAGATATAAAATAAGAATTATTTTATATATATTATTTCGGAAAGGTACAAATTCTATCTCGGATCGAAATTTGTGTTGGGTAGAGTTTTGTTAACCAAGATTGGGTCGGTGTTTAGATGAAAAGATACTTTTTCTGATCGAATTGGGTTAGCTGGAAACCCAGGTCGACCCATATCCATCTATGTTATTTTTAGATAAAATAGAAGAACTGATAATAAAAAGACTGCTTGCTTGGCAGCGGAATAGGTACAGTTGGGAGAGGCGAAAGCTTGAAGAAGATTGGCTAAAGGGGGATGTTGGAAAAGCTGCTCAGATCAACATGATGTATTATTATGATCTGTAATTTCCAATTTATATTTTTTATGAAACTCCCAAAAAATTTATATTAATTAATTAATATTATTTCAATTTTGTCTAATTTATTATACTGATTTTAAGAGGATCGATCCCATTTTTAAAAGACAGATCTCGACTTTCTGGATTTTTGGACAGAAAGATTTTAGGACTATTTAAGTTGGTTAAGAAATTTGGGTTTATGTTTAATATTGGACTTAGGCATGATTCGAACGAAATTGATGTCTATATAAATAATTTTAAATAAACAAAAACCAGCAATACCTTTATATTGATATTGATAAGAAAGAATTTCTAGTCTAACTTTTAACTAGATTCTAGGTACTTACAATTTTTTATATCAATGTATAAAATTTAAACATAACATTTTAAAATATTATGATTTCCGGTAAAAATTGTGTATGCGATAATTACAATACGTTATGTAATATTCATAAATAAGGATGTATGCAGAATATTATGTTAGGAGATGAATTTTTAAAATTTTACGGAGATGATAAATTTATAAAATTTTAAGGAAAGTAAAGATAAATTATCAATAAAAAATATAAAGAAAATATCTAAATAATTTTAAATTTTAAGAAATAAATGTCTGAAAAATTAAAAAGAAAGTGGAATGCTACCTAGCACGAAAACAAGCCCAAGTAATATTATATAAAAAAAAACATAAGCAACCAAGGAAGCTTAGCTTGCAAGTCAAGCTACATTTCCAGGAAACTGAGAATTGGATCTCTTAACAAATTCAAAGAACTAAGCTACAAATTGAACAAAGAAAGAGTTTTCTATTTCAACCAGACAACCTGCCTCCTCCATTGCTCCATTTCTCATCGTTTTGCATTTTAACATCGCTGACCGGTGTAATATCCAACTAGGAGAATCAGAACGTCTCCTGTTCTTCGCTGGGGATACCGAGAACGAAAGCCGTTTCTTTGCAGAACCTACAAATCCCCTCCCCAGTGTCGCATTTTTCTCTAATCCCAAAGGGCTTGGCAATCATGACCTGGCCTTTGTCGACTGTGTCGGTTCCATGTAACTGCAGAAAGCTGTAATTTTTCTTTTAAATTTTGATGAGTAAGTGCATGTTTAGGTTCTAGAACTATTATATGGCATGAGAATCGAGATGCCGAAAATAAACCACATGTGTGTGCATCGAGTTGATCTGCAGACTATGAGCAAATTTTCTTTTTCTATGCAAGGTTTCTTTTTATAGTTTCATGACTTTGATTCCGATCGAAGTATCGAAAAGCAAAGAGTTTGATATTATCATACTATTACTAATAAAGGCATACCTGATGAAAGAAACTGAAAAGAACTTCTATTAGGCGTTTTTTTTTCCATCTCTGTCTTGAATAAAAAACTTGCATGAGTACGCCTCTGGTTATCTGGTGCTGAGGCCCAACACCTAGGCGCATGCCTTCATTCTACTGTTTCCATTTTAAATCTTGGATGGTTTTTAGGTTTTCTAGTGCTCATTGGTGTTTTTTTTTCCCTCGCAGCAGTTGGAGGAGGATCAGAAACTAAATTTACTGATTTGAAGGAAACGTTTTCATCAGAGAGTGTGGATTCCCCGAGGAACAAAAAAAAAGTTAGTAGTAGATCATAGCGCCTGACTAAGCTCTTTCGAATTGTTATAATTGTGGGTTGGTTTCAGTATGATCATCAAGAAAGTGCTGATGATTATTGCTTAAATGGAAACATCCTTAGTCTATGATAATGCCAAATTGCATATTTTTCAAGAGTATGGCAGCCTGTTCAGTGGCATTCAGTTTATTTAGAAGTTACTTATATATGCTTACTTTATATCAGTTTCATCTATATAAGTGAACTCGCCGGTTTATTTCCAAGGAAACTAAAACCACTGAAACCAGGCACAAGAACGCAAAACGTACACTAAAATCTGAAAAGGAATTTCTCAAGTTCTCTTTCAAATATCAACAAGTTCTTGCAGAAAGAGATGCAGGTAAGTTGAAATAACAATTATGATGCCAAAAGTTGCTGTCGCTGTATCACGTGATGTGATGAATATGTTGGTCTAGTTACCTCAGACCAAATTTTATTGATCCTTCATGATAATACGAGTTATAGTTTTTTTTTTAAATATAGTTGTTATAGTTGAATATTAAGTTTTGAATGATATGTTTGCACACCCGTTTTTGTCCGGGTCTTAAATTTATTATTATTATTATTAATTGTTATTAATTTTACTTTTATTTTGCAGGCCTAAATTACAAAGCCCAGTGTAATCAAACCCGAAGCCCAAACCAATCGACCCAAATTACAAGACCCAAGTGAAAGCCCAATAGCCAACCCAACAACACAATCCGACCCAGTCTAGCCCACGTGTGAACCCGATTAGGGTTTCCCTCTCTAACAGTAGCCACCACCTCTCACCAACCGTTGGATATGGACCCAAATCAATGGTCTAGATCAAGGGCCATTTAGGGTTTCTAAAACCCTAACCCAAATAGTTGCTGTTGACACCACTGTGGTTGCTGCTACTGTCGGGGACCGCATATGACACTGTCGCTTCACCTACAGTGGCATGATATCAATGTCAACAGTAAAATGGCAGAAATATCAAAACATCATAATGAAATCCTAAGGTAGATGGGTTGTTAATCAAGCTGTGGATATAGGGTATTCATACCCTATTCCCTTGGAAAAAGGATAAATCATCACTATAAAAGAAAAAGAGAAAAGCTCAGAGGAGGGGAGATGTTTTCGGGGAAGGAGGTTTTGAAAAGGAAAAAAAAAAGAATGAAAGAACAGACAGGCAACCACATTTAAAAAAGGGAAACAAAACAGATTCGAAGAAAAAAACCATAGATACTGAGAGAGAAATCTAAAACAACAAAGAAAAAACCCAAAGAGAGAAGCCCTTACCTCGGTTCGAAGCGGGAAGCCCGAAGGTCATCGGAGTCTCATCTTTTTCGAGAGGTAAACCCTAGATCTAGGGTGCTATGGTGGTTTTTAGGTTAAAAGAAGTTAGGATATGGGTTAAGGGTGAGGATAGGAACCTTTGAGGTATTTGGCTCTCTCCGGCCACCGTGGATCGCCGTGAGCGCCGACGGTGAGAGATGGTTCTTCCTCTCCCGATGAGAGAGTTCTCAAACTCTCTCCTTTCCCTCTGTTATGGAAACCAAACCAAATGAAAGGGTTGACCAAATTTTGGCCTTGTTTTGGCCTTAAATACTAAGCACGAAACGACGTCGTATATGGAGGGTTTCAGCGTGTTTTGAGAAAGGGATAATAGCAATTTAGGTGCCTATTGCTTTTTAATCTCACCCATGTTTTTTAATTTTTAAGGGATAATAGCAGTTTAGGTCCCTATTTCTTTGTAATCTCATGATTCGGCCATCAAATGAAAAAAATGATATCTTGTTCCAGGCATTTGTTTCTCAATACTTACATTTAAGTCACCATTTTATATGTTATGCTATTTTTGTTAATGTTTGACTCTGGTCATGATGTTTGTAAATGTTTCATTTTAGTCCCATATGGTTGTTATTATATTCGTTTATGTGCTTACATTTTTGACTGGTGATTTTGTGTAGTATTCATTTTGGTCCCTTGTATTTTCAATATCTAAAATAGGGTAGTTTATGCTTTGAAGCCTGATGTTCAGTTTTGCATTCATTCACTTTAGTAACTATCTTTAGTACTTTAGTGTTTATTGTCCATTGGATCCTCATTGTTCTGTTTTTTTTTTCGTTTCTCTCCCCTGAAATTATTATAAAATATTTTGTATTTTACTTTCATGTATCTAGTAAATTTTACGTATTTATGCTTTATACTATTATTATCTATATATAGACGTTGTACGCATGAATGCTTGGTATGATAGTTGTTTTCATATCTGTTTTATTTGTTTTTGTTGTTCTTATTATTTGATTTTTTTTGCATGCGTATACATATATTTCAATATATTTTTATTATATTTCATATTCCTCTATTTGTTAATGAACATATTTCCAATTATATTTGTTTCCATTGTATTTCTTTATCTATTAATATTATGCGAATATTTTTAGGAACAACGATTTGTAAAATGAGCGTGGAAAGCATTGTTTGATCGAAGTAGTGCGATCCGATACGACATTTGAACAAAATGTGAACTTGAAATAAATCAATTTTATTTTGCTAAATATTTCATTTTTTATTTTAAGTCGAACAATGCAATGCATGTTTCTATAAATAGCAATTTATTTTATGCAAATTGTCGACAATCATTTATATTCGATTTAGGTTTTTCGAGGAGGAAATATCCTTTTTAGTCAAGAAATAGGAGATATATCATTCCCGTCGGAGGATGAGCAAATCTCAATATTTCTTTTTGAATTAAAAGATGTTTCTTAATAAATAATTCGAAATAAATTAATCAATGTTCGATAAATTGATCATATTCTAACTTTATATTCGATTTATGATTTTCACCATTTATGAAAACGTGTAAGCGATTAAGTACCAATTTTTGGGCGTTGAGGGTGCTTATCATTCCCCACGCGTAATTGACTCCCGGACCCATTAAATCGAATATTTGTAAACACATACCAACTTTTTTTTCTTCTAAAAAACGATTTTTCCTTAAAATTGTTTTAAAAGAAATTTTTTAGGTATTCAACCTATCTAACTCAAAGATTGATGGTGACTTCTTTTCCATTTAATTCAAATCAATTCAAAATTGCTAATTTTTTAAACAAAAAGTCATAGTTGTTTTTTTAAAACTTAATTGTTTTTAAAAAAAAAAAAAAGTTATGACAATATGAATATCGAGGCACGTATAACACATCTATGAAGCACAGGTACGGAAAAGAACCCTATTTCAAGTATTCGAAATGTTTTGGGACGGGGACGACTGAGGTACATACCGAGCACGTGTCATGGTGGCAGGATACGACTGACCGAATTTGGGATGGTCAAAGCTTATTTGGGGACGTTTGGGATGTCCCCAGTGGTAATTTTGCTCCATTGGCGGTGGTGGAGAGTCACGAGATTTCTTCCATGACACTGGAGTATAGGAGGGAGTGTGGGAGGGACAACGTGCTGCAGTCACTAACAACTGTGTCGAACTCCAAAAGTGTGGGGGACTTGGTGAAAGTGGGTGAAATAGAGTGCCAACACTTACTCTGGCTCGAGGAAGGGTCGGAGATTGTGAGAGGGAGGACTCAGTAGAGGGCCACCACGGCACACACAAAAGACGCACCAGCAATGACATCTGAAAACCAATCACAACATTCCCAAAGCGACTTGCCCTAAGTCCTCGTCTTTAAACCGCTGCCGTCCTTCGTCCTCTTCAGTCACCGTTTCAATGTTTGTGCAAAGGAAGAAAAGAAATAAAAGGAAGAAGAAGCGGCCGCGAGGGGAGAACAAAGAGATTTAAAGAATGTTTGGTATAATTTCCAGTTGATCCCTGAGTTTTATAGGGCTTTCGAATTTGGAAACAAGGTTTGCAATATTTTTAAATTGGACATTAAAATTAATTTAGAGATTTGGAAAAAAAATCTTAAATGTTAGGATTTCAATTAGGGCGTTAAACCAATTTTCTATGAACTATTGACTTTATTTATGATTTTTTACATCTATTTATAATTTTAAATTTTTTATATGTCGGCCCCTTGTCGTCCCCGTACCCTTTAATTTTAGAAATTACCGTTTCCTATCCCCGTATCCACACCAGTGAAACATAGTGGCACATTGGTGAGTATTATAATCTCTCTATATATCTTTAACATCATGAAACTGATTTTTGTTTCTTTGCTTCCCGTGTAGCTATTGATGCCGAGATAAACTTGAATCACTTTGTAGGGAGTTGCAACGTCAAAACAAAATGTTAATGGTACTTTTCTTTGGATGCTTTGCCACTTTTTGCATTCTACCGAGTATTTGTTGTCGATACACTTACCTTATGATTATGTTACAAACCAACCGTAGAACAGTATAAGTAATAGTTCTGATCTCAATTGTACTTCCTCTATAAAGTTGCTCTTACGAGTGTTTTAGTATTACTTGCTGTGATAAACATTTTTTGAAGTTCAGGTTTCTTCTGTAAGTGTTTGACATACTTTTTAATCAAGTGATGGTGAATCTTCACAACAAATATAATTATCGAGCAAAACAACTTTGCTTTAGTTTTACCATTTCTAATTCGATATATTTGAATTCATCGATGGTGATTTCTTATCACCATCTGTTAAAAATCTTCAATTTCCGTGACTAAGATATACTTGTCCTCTTTTGAGCTATTTGCCTTTCTTTTATGAAGGTGCTGATGGCAAATGGGTATCAACAGAAGGTCAAAATATAAGATTAGATTTATCGGCTAGGTTCCATACTGCAATCAAGGTTTGATGCTCCCATATTACTTAATAAGATCATTGTATAAACTGTTAAACATGATTGATACCATGACAACAGTTCGCATAGCATATATGTAGCATAGGTCGACAGAGATGATAATTTAAATGCGAGATAAATGGTGAATGGAACTGTGTCATAACTCATCAAGATAGTACTGCAAGTCTATTAGTTGAATCGAGAGTTGAAAATCGCATCTCATGTTGGATGAATCTATATTACCGGGACTTATGTGTAAGCATCGGATACCGTAAGAGATTCACCCTAAACATATTTTACTAGTAGTTTCTTAATCTTCTATTCCCCCCTTTCTTATAGGATGTGGCCAATAAGCTGGAAGAGCAGAAGAATGAAAACCTATCTCAACTGAAGGATAATGAGTTGTAAGAGACGAGGATTGCATGTCGATTTATTAAATTTGTTTCATGTTCTGGTTTCTTTTTTTCCTCAATGGATCTTCCTTTTGGAGTTTTCAAATATATTGGCTTTTCCAAGTAAATTTCCAAAGAATTCCTGCTATCCGGGAAAGCTTCACCGCACACATATCGTTTATTTTGATTTAATGGATTGTTTTAACAAAAGTTTGTCATTACACGGACTTTCAGAATTATTCAAGTGTAGGTTAAGAGATAAGTTGAAGCAGTTTGCTGATCAATATGCTCTTGCTGAAAGACAATTCGAACAAAAGGTACGGGTTAGATTTACCGGGACAGCATAGGTTTTCCGTCTCAAAATACAATCAAATTGTGTTGTCCAGAACTGTGAGCTTAGCCCTTGGACATTTGACACAGCTAAAGCAGAAAACACTAGAACTAGAGCTTGCTGATCTAAAAATTAAGCAACATGAAGAGAAATTGATCCAAGAACAAGTGCAGATGAAAGTATATGCAGAGTGGTTTTAGTGGCAATTTTATTCTTTTTGCCCTTCAAGCTGATGAATCTGATATTAGGTATTCAGTTCTTATGTCATTTGTCTCGGATGGCTGACGCCGGATTTCGGTTAAGAGGTCTTATCGAAAGGTTTGTTGTCACATGCACAATATAATGATTTAGTATAAAGCTACAGTCTAACTGATTTTGTTAAGTTGAAAACTAGTGAAAGTATTGGTGTCCAATACCCGTTTCCGATGCATACCTGGATATAGATATGGGGGCATACCCTTCAAAGATCCTTCAAGTACATGAAAAAAGCTTTAAAAAGTTTAACATACCCGTGAGTAACCAAGACTTTAGTCCTTTCGTTGTAGGAATAGTAGCGGAATGCTTTTGTGATACCTTTCTAGGCAACTAAGAAGTCACTCGTAGATGGTCAAACATCCTCTGCGTACCGACAGCTGATTAATGTCTCCATGCTCTTAATATTGAAACGTGTAGGTCCAACATCCTCTGCGTATCGACTGCTGTTGTGAGGCCTTGTTAAAGAGCAATGAGGTCTTTGAAACGTTTAAGCAAGAGATTGATAAGTTATATTGTTTGCCTTTTACCTTTGAGAGATACATTTTCCTCGGATGCGGGCAGTATCCGACATCCCTATTTGATGCATATCCGAACATAGGCATGGGGATAGATTCTCTAGCGACATGGAAATCTTCGGGAAAAAAAAAATGAACATATCGGTATGATATGTATGATACATACATAATCATATTCGACACTCGTATATGAGTCGAGTCTTGTGTCGTGTTACGATTTCAATCCAAGTTACCAACTAGTTTTCCTTTTGCATACAAATTAGATGGGAAAATCAATCAAGGAACTGAAGAAGGAAAATGGTTTCTTGAAGAGCAAATGCGACAAATCAGTTGTTACTCTCATAGAACTTGTGGAGGAGGTTTACACAATTAACATGTCATTTTCATTCTTTAGGAATCATTATCCATTTCAAGAAGTGTTTTATCGACAACTAATGGTGGTTCATCTTTGCTCGAGTAGCGTGAGCTATTGAAGAAATGTCATGGCCCTAGAGGAAAAATTAGGGATAGGGGGGTTAAGAATTAGGGATTACAAGTCAGGAAATTGGGAATTTAGGGATTATGAGTCAGGAAATTGAGAATTTGAAAAAAGAATTAGGGATTTGTAATTATAAAAGAGGGGAAATGGAGAACTTACCTGATGCAGTTAAAATTGAAGAAGGGATTGAGTTACAACAGCAAGCAAGGACTGAGGAAGGGTGAGTCAAGGCTGAAGGAAGCAAGAACAACAGTTAGAGTTGTTAAGGAATATCACAGCTGTCAATAAATAATTGAATAGCCTAAAATATATATATGGATTGTAAGCAAAATCTAGGGTTATGAATGAAAATTGAGAATCCGTTTTCTATAAACTTATCTTTTCTTCTTCTTCTGCAATCCTTTCTCACAAATTTCAGGTGCAAACCTGACAATTGGTAATCAGAGCTAAGTTAGTGATCCCAAACAAATTTACACGCTGGGTAAGACAAAAAAGATGCAAAAGACTGGAACCGTGGAGGTACCAAAACAATCAATGGAGGTTAAGGATGAAGAAGCCTTACCATCTTGGTGGGCTTGATAGAAAGCAGAGCTGGAGGAAAGGATACAAATACTGGAAGAAGGAATGACTGAAAATAGAGGCTATTTGCAGAGAATCCTACAGCTGGTCAATCAGGCAACTGAGGAAAAAGATTCACCTCGGTCAGAAAAAAGTCAACCACCAGCAGCTGCAAAGCAAAACAAAGATGAAGGTAAGCTTTCATGTTTAGTTACAGTTCTTAGTGAGCATGAGAAGTATACTTTTAAGACTGGTGAACCTGGAATATTAGCTCCTAAACATGTTAATACACATTCACTTTGTGAAAATCAACCTCATGCTACTTTGGATGTGCAAAAATTGAAAATGGGAGGAAACACAACAAAAATGGGAGAATCATCCATTGGGGGAGGATGTTCATTCAAGCTATGTTTTCAGACCAAAACTAGAACTCTAAATGTTTGATGGAACAAATCCTAGAAGCTGAGTAAAAAATGTTAGAAATACTTCTCAATTTTTAGAGTACCTGAAGGTCAGAAAATAGAATTAGCTATAATGTATTTAACAGGGAAGGTTGAGACCTGGTTTGATGGTTATATAGCTAAAAAACATAAGGTGAACTGGCATGAATTTACAACAGATTTATGTCATAGATTCTGTGATCAGAATTGTAATGACATTGTGGAAGAGTTTAACAAGCTGATTCAAAAGAATTCTGTAGAAGATTATCATGAGAAGTTTGAGGAGTTGAGGTCTTACATGCTGCAATATAGTCCATTCTTGAAGGAATGGTATTTTGTTTTAAGTTTTTTGAGTGGATTGAAAGAAGAAATTAAGCACAGGGTTAAAGTTCATAATCCCACAACTTTAGCTACTGCTTTTAGATTGGCTAAATTGGTTGAATTAACTTGGGAGGTGGAAAACAGGAAACTGAGGTTCCAGCCTAGAATAGTATCTTCAGGATAGAGCCTTAATTACAAGGGTCCTCAAACTACCTTGAATCAATCACAAAAAGGAACTGCTCAGAATTTAAACCAGAGTAAACCATCATTGGTGGAATATAGGAAGACGCATGGACTATGTTACAAATGTGGAGAGAAGTTCAGTCCAGGATATCAATGTAAGGTTAAGCAGCTAAATTTAATGGAGGAGTTAGAGGATACAGGAGAGCTTGAAAATCTGGAAACAAGAAATAATGAGGTAATGACAACATATCCTGTGGAAGGAGAATTGGAAATTTCTATCAATGCCATAACATGCCAGACATGCTACAACACATTGAGGATCCAAGGGCATATATCAGGAAAACCTCTAAACATTCTCATAGATAGTGGAAGCACACATATATTTATATCTAGTCAATGGTCCAAGGAAGGAGTGGAATTGGAGCAAACTCATCCCTTGACTATTACAGTTGCTAATGGTGAAAAGTTGTACAGTTCAACTATGAGTAAAAAGTTAAAATGGGGAATGCAAGGTTCTCAGTTTGAACATGATTTTAGAGTTCTAACTCTAGAAGAGAGTGACATGGTTCTAGGAGTGGACTGGATGAAAAAGTATAACCCATTATTGATGGATTTCAATCATATGACTTTGAGTTTTCAAAAAGATGGGGAAAATTACTTTAAGAGGAGTACATCATTCACCCACTATTAAACTGATATCAGACAGTAAGTTACAGAAGTTGATGGAGAAGAACAGTGACATATCAGGGGAAATTTTTATGTTAAGTGGGGAAGTTAGCACTAATATGGTACCTGTTGAACTACAAGATTTATTAGAAGAATATTCAGTTGTTTTTTAGTAACCAAAAGGGATGCCACCCCAAGAGAACATGATCATTCCATTATACTAAAAGAGGGTACAGAAGCAGTGAACATTAGATCGTACAGGATGCCCTATCATTAGAAGTAAGAAGTGGAAAAACAAATTAAAGAAATGTTATCCTCTTCCATAATTCAGACTAGTAAAAGCCCTTTTGCCTCACCTTGTTTGTTAGTGAAGAAGAAGGATGGGAGTTAGAGGATGTGTATAGACTATAGGCAATTGAATGCCTTAACTATAAAAAAAACAAGTTTCCAATTCATGTGGTGGAAGATTTGTTGGATGAGTTGACTGGAGCAGCCTACTTTTCTAAACTGGATTTGAGAGAAGGGCACTGGCAGATTAGAATTACTCCTGAAGACATTCCTAAAACAACCTTTAGGACTCACCATGGCCACTTTGAGTTTAAGGTTATGCCTTTTGTATTAACAAATGCCCCAACAACTTTTCAGGCATTAATGAACAAGCTATTTGATCCTTATTTAAGAAAATTTGTATTGGTTTTGTTTTGATGACATACTCATTTACAGTTCTGATCTAAAGAGCCATGCTAGGCATCTTAGGACTGTTTTGGAAGTTCTAAAGCAGAATCAGCTGTTTGCTAAAAGAACAAAATGTTTCTTTGGCCAAAAAGAGGTGGAATATTTAGGTTACATTATATATAAGCAAGGGGTAGCTACTGATCCAATAAAGATACATGCAGTGCAGCAGTGGAAGTTTCCAAAAAATCTTAAATCCTTGAGTGGTTTCCTTGGGTTGACAGGATATTATAGAAGATTTATAAAATGATATGGAGAAATTGTCATGTAACACCCCCAACCCGTACCCGACCCGGATACGAGTCAAAGATATTACATTGACTTTTAAAACACAACTCTTAATAAATAATAGCAAAATACTTGAACTTATATTAAGAAAATACGATAATATATATATGGTAATATGAGTTTACCAAAATATTCAGAGCATACACAACTTAACCCTTTAATTACATGCCAACTTCCATTTACATAACAAAATGACCTACTGATTAAGTTGCTTCTGATCTGATGGTTGCAGGAGTAATATTGTCCAACTACTTAACCTTGCTCGCCTACTTTCTCAGATCCTACGTGTGAAACACTCACACGCTAAGTCATCGACTTAGTGAGGCAATATAATAACAATGAAATATAATGGAAATGTCAACATGAGATGAAGTATTAAGATAATATATATATTCAATGCAATAACCATAATCATATTTCATACCTGTATACTTATCAAATTAACATTCCTGAGTTCAACTTATTAAGTTTACCAGCCCATGATACCATACTGAGAACCTAAGGTATGTGAGTATTATGAGGTTGTGCACTATGTTGTCACCACAGCTCGTATAAATACACCGAAGTGCCGCATAGAATTGCACCGTAGTGCCATATAATAATGTCCATAAGGACCACATATAATTCCTTAAGAATCATATACATATACTAGGGATCAAGTATGTGTCTCACAAGACTTCACACATGTTCCAAAAAATATATACATATCCCGAAGGACCGCGTAGAATTTTGTCCCGAAGGACCGCGTAGACCCTCTACCCTTG